CCTTCTCTCCCTTCTCTCATTTCTCCCTTCTCTCCCGTCTCTCATTTCTCCCTTCTCTCCAGCCTCTCCCTTCGCTCCCCTGTCTCCCTTCTCTCCATGTTCTCCCCTCTCTCTTCTCTCCCTTCTCTCCCTTCTCTCCCCTCTCTCCCCTCTCTCCCTTCTCTCCCTTCTCTCCCTTCTCCCTTCTCTCCCCTCTTTCCCCCCTCTCCCTTCTATCCCCTCTCTCCCCTCTCTCCCTTCTCTCCCTTCTCCCTTCTCTCCCCTCTTTCCCCCCTCTCTGTTCTCTCCACTCTCTCCCTTCTCTCCCCTCTCTCCCCTATCTCCCCTCTCTCCCGTCTCTCCCCTCTCTCCCATCTCTCTCCCCTTTCGCACATTTCAGTTTTTTATGCATGTGGAGCGTTTGCAAGCGTTTTTTGTTCCCTTTACCTGTCTGTTTTGTCTTGTGAGTAACCTGTTGAATAATAATTGAAATTGCACACTTTGTGAGCTTCGTGTATGGTGTTTTTGACTGTTTTTCTGTTTTTTTTTCTCTCTCTCTCTTGCTCTTAATACAACAGCAGACATCCTGTGACACCTGGCTGGGGAATCTCGACTCATGCTATCCTGTGAGGCTTGTCTTTTCTCTCTCTTTCAGTAGGTCAATCTTTCCCTCTCACATCGTCTCCCTCTTTATTGCTGCAATGTGTTCCTAATTACCCAATCACTAACCACACCGTGTTTACGTCAAGCAACTTGTTGTCCGTCTCCTCCTCAGTCCTCATCTCTCCATCCCCGGCCAGGAGTCTAATCTTCGTCTCCTGACTGTGCATAAAGAGCAGTGTGCTTCTACCCCCCTTTTCTTTGCAACTCTTGCTGCTCCAAGCATCACCCTTCATCTATTCCTCATGCGTGCTTGCCTAATTCAGCATAACAGTCAGCAGACCACAGATGCGGTCCTGGCTGCTGGCTAAACATGACCCCACGTGTTATTTAATATTCCCTCACCGTCCCCTCATCACACATGCTCCGACTACCGTCTTCAACCGAATAGAACGCCCGGTTCTTATAGCTGCATTTGGCACAACTTTCAGTCCACATGCAGCGATAATGACCGGGCGTTTTATTTTGGGTGAAGATGGTAGTTGGACATAACGGTCCTTTCACTTGCCATGGGGACTCGTATTTCCGCCGGTTAAATACTTCCCTTGGCCTTGCGATAAAAAGAAAAAGAGTCGTTTGAAGCCATTGAAATTTGAAATCCTGTGGTGTAAACGGCTTGAGAGGAGGCTCATGCTAGGATCTGTTTTGGACTGAATTTGGCCATGACTTCAGTCAGATGCATCCTTTCACGTCGGAGTGTGTGAGGCATTTCTTTATTGCACCGACTAAGAGGAATTCTATGTGTGATCATCGAGGCGTTGAAGATCTCAGGTCTCTGGTGAACTGATCACAGGGCTGAGGATTACTTAGGATTGAAGTACCGCGACACGAGTGGGAACAGAGAAAGGTTCAAATTAGCTGTGCCTGAATGTGGAAACGAACAGGGTTTTGAACGAGTCTTATTTTTTCTTGAAGCACACTTGGCATGACCTCTTTACTGTTCTGAGTGTTCTCCATATTTGCAATTCTTTGCACACATGCATGGGTGTGGAATCTGAATCTGTGGATGCAGATGACTCGAAAGCCGGTTACCAATGTTGTGTATGAGTTAATGCCACAGTTGAAAGATCACAAGTAAGTTGACTTGGAGACTTTCTGAAATGTTTCCTCCCACTGGTGACTCTCTCTCTCTCTCTCTCTCTCTCTCTCTCTCTCTCTCTCTCTCTCTCTCTCTCTCTCTCTCTCTCTCTCTCTCTCTCTCTCTCTCT